ACCAAATGGCTTCATTTGATGAAGCCACATATTGCTTCATGATTGCGCTTTTACATATCATCTTTCCATTGGGATTGGCCACGACAAACCTTTCCAGCCGGAAAATATATATGGTGTAAACACTATCAAACAAGAAAAAAAAAAAAAAAAAAAAAATGGAGAGAAGAACAATAAATGTATGTGCGTGTGTATATGCAAATAGTACTAATATGTTGCATCAAGGGATCTTAAAATTCAATTTATCTTATTTTTAAAATTCAAAGAGTACAATTTATTTATTTATTTATTTATTTTGTGCATTTGGAATTTTTTTAGTACCTATGTATATGCATAGAGTACTAATACGTTGTATCGGGCATTACAATAATAATTAACATTGCTTTTTTTTTTTTTTTGGTAATATATATGAATTTTTAAAGTAAGACAAAGCATTCATTGTTTGGATGGAACACATGTTATTTCTTTTGCAAAAGTATATTTAATAACCACAAATATGTAACAAAATAAGTATTTTTTAGAAATTTGAAGAGCCAATTTTAATTTATTTATACTAAATTACCACTAATAACTATAGATATAGAGGTTATAAATAATTTTGGGGGGTGCAATTTTAATTTTTCTATACTAAATTACCATCAATAACTCTAAATTAATACACACCATTAATGGAGGTTACCCAAAATTTTGGGGGGCCATGGCCGCCCCTCCCTCCACCCTTATAGTGGTACTTTGACGGAGTGGTTGGCTGAGTGTGGGAACCCTTTTACCGAATGACATATAGTGAAATGATAGTTATGTTATTATAAAATAGAAGATGATGTATTAATAAGTTTAGGATCATGTTGTTATTTTCTTTAAAAAAATGTAAAATGTAATTGTAGAAAAAGTGAGTGCTAGCCTTAGAAAAACCCAAAATATGTAATATTAAAAATGTATTATAAATAAATGTTAGCAAACTTTTTGGACACTTTAATATTTAGTGTAGATAGATGAGATGTGAGAGAGAGTAAACTTTTTAGAAAAAGAAATTTAGGAAAAATAGAAGAAACTTTTTAGAAAAAGCAACACATGTATATCTGGAGATTTCACTCTTCTCCCTCACCATTGTTTTCACTTTGTAAAAGTATCTGCTTTCTAGTCCTCGCTTTCTTATTTCCATCTCTTGCTTACTATGCAAGCAATAAGAGAACAGAAATGTGACATGTCTAGTTAGACTATCTTTAATTACTCCATCTTGTTCAGCCAAAATGTTTATGCAAACAAAGTTGAACAGAACTGATTTGCGCATACGGTCAAGTATTAGCTCTCGAGCTTGGTTGGTTGACTGCATTGCACATTTTATCGACCACAAAGCCGGAGAAATGTGAAGGATTTGGATATCGGAGACTCGCTTAATTCCGCGAGCTAGCTAGCTAGAGCATTAAAAGCCAAAGATATGTCGTCTGTAGCCCCAACTCCATTCCCTTAGAAATACCATCCAGGACCAATTCGCAACATGGTCGTACTATGAGGGAGCGGCTGGCGGAGTGGCGGAGCATATTATTGTTGGTGCTGTGTCTAATCGCGACCTTGACTTTCCAAACTTCTATAAACCCTCCAGGCGGTGTGTGGCAAGATGACTCTCCAAAAAATTTCGCGGGTAGCACTGTGCCAAATCCACACAAAGCAGGGGAATTTGTAATGCTTTATAACAATCCGGTTTAATTGGTTCGCAAATTTCTATATTGCTAATTTAGTGGGTTTTTCTGGATCTTTATTATCAATTATTTTACCCATTGTTGCATTGGCATTGAACGACGACCTTATTCCTTGGTTTTTTATTACAAGCACATGCTTGACAGTTGTGTCGGTTTTCTTGGCTGTCATTGCTTCTCTTAGCGGAATGACTCCAGATAAGAACATAAAAGAGTACAATTCTCAAATGAGTAAAATTAGAAATGTCGGTCTGCTAGTTTTTCTCGTGATTTTGGTACCACTTTGGATTTTAATTGGTTGGAGACGAAGAAGTTTAAGTTCAGCAGATGCAACCAATGCCAATAGTGGAGACCCAGAAGCTCCTCAAGATGCGGCTGCCTTAAGCAGTGCCAATATTGGAGGCTCAGAAGCTCCTCAAGATGCAGCTGCCGCAAACAATGCCAATATTGGAGACCAAGAAGCTCCTCAAATTCAGTTAACACGAGGCTGTCAAAGTTCATTAATTATGTAAAGTGCGTAAATTTTCAGTTGTCTTCGAAACCGCATGAAGTCTTTTGGACAGAATGTATTGGTTTTGCTTAATTAAAATCTGTTGGTTTTATATATTATTATTTTAAAAAATGTTAATGGATTTGAGTATAAGTTCAATTGAAGGTGTGAAAAGCAAGTAGGTATATGGTGTGTGCACTGGGCTAATCAGAAGTGCACAACTAGGTATGGATTAGCCCGATGTACAGTACACCAAACACACTGAATAATCATTCACGAAAAGCACAGCGTGGTACAATTTAATTCGGTCCCTTTTATTGCTGCTGAGATTCTATCAATTCGTCTTTTGAACTACAACATCGAAAGGTTTGATGCCTATTCTTCCCTATGCTCAAATAGGTATGACTTTACAAAAACCTTGGTTTTGGATAAGATGCATATCAAAGAAGCAAAGCTACTAAGTATGCATGCGGGAGTTTCTTTCATCTTGTTGGGAAGTGTCACCGGTCGGACATTTTTATAACTCTGTAAACTTCAAGAATTTGAGGTATCAAGATGGCATATCCTTTCACTCACTTACCGAAAAAAAGAAAAAAAAGAAAAAAGGATGGCATATCTTTGGTGAACATTGTAATGTCAAATGGCAAATTTGATGAGCTCTTATATGTTTTTGATATTCGTATATTGGTCGTCAATCTTTTCTGTTTCAAAAAAAGTGGTCAAGAGTATTGCACAGAATATGAGACAATTTCTAAGGAGTTAAAGGCGCTAGTTTTAGAAAAGGCGGTTGTAAAGTGGCTTGGAACACTATTTATTTATCGAAATCAGAGGGTGGGCTCGAAACCAAAAGCATCCATGACTAGATCAACGTTGCACAGCAAATTTGAAACATTCTAAATCAAGCACCGACCTAGCAAACAAATTTTCAGTGGGGTCATGTATGTGAGTTACACGGTATGAAAGTTGTTAGTTGATTTAGTTGTGATTAAGTCCCTAAATGTCCTAAATGAAATTATTAGGTCAATTTGTCCAATTTTCGTGATTGATTAATTTGCTCAAGATTATGATCAATTAACTGATTGATTAATTTACTCAAGACTATGATCAATTAAACATCCACAATTAATGATGAGGAAATTTGATATAGAAGCTGAATAGGTTGATTATGGATAGGATAAGATAAGATAAGATAAGGTGATTAATATTGTTCACGTTACAATTTCAAAAAGTAGTTTTGATATGATAAGGTGAAATTGTGATTCTCGACAAAGGGTCTCCTCAGAAATTGTAACAAACTCCATGTTGGCAAATTATAAAAAGGAGGCGACCCACCAATCAGTGAGGTACGGGCAATATTGAACTCCACTTCATTAATTGCTTACTCTATTTTCTTCAGGAAACTGACTTTGCCATCGGAGGTTGTTTGGCAGGCACCCCACCAGTGTTAAGATAAAACGTTGTCGATCCGAATCATTACAGACCATTCATCATCAGTTGGCGCCGTCTGTGGGAACTTGGAATAGTTCTCTTTAAAAAGAATTATGGTCTTACGATCCAGATTTAAACGCGGTGAGGGAACATCGTTGCAGGCCTCAGGTGAGGAGGAAGTGCAAGGGGAACCCCCTCACATCCCAAATGACCTAGAGCGCGTCGCAACGTTGGAACAGCAAGTTCAAACCCTGAATCAGGGAATGAATGAGCTGATCCGGCAAAATGCGATGATCTTACAACGTTTTGTTCCCCCAGACCCACCTCAAGGGCAAGGTCATCACCATAACGAAATCCCACCTCAAGATCAGCCCAACCTAAATGCTGAGGAGGGAAATCATGAGGTACAAGGCAACGAGCCTTCCCATGAGGAAGTTCTTGCAGAGCATAGCCAAATTGCTGATCTGCATAGGGTGGCGGGTCACCCATTTCCCCCACGTAGCTCTAGGCCATTGACTTCGACCTACGTTAATGAACGGACTGAGGAGGTTACCCACATCGACCAACAGATCCAGAACCTCAATGCCAAGATGGAAGATGTGATGCAAGCTATGAAGGGAAAAGGCTCCGCTACCACCATAGACGACCTTGTTCAAAAAACAAATTTGCCATTTAGCCCAACTATCATGAGATGTCCATTGCCTAGCAAGTTCAAGATGCCAACATTTGAAAGCTTTGATGGGACTCGTGATCCTCTTGATCACCTGGAGACTTTCCAGGCACTTATGCATCTCCAAGCTGTACCAGACTAGATAATGTGTCGGGCCTTTCCTACTACTCTCAAAGGGTCGGCACGGGTCTGGTTTAATAAATTAAAACCAGGCTCGATCGAGACCTTTGCAGAGTTGAGCAAGGGATTTGTAAGTCATTTCACTGCAGGTCAAAGGCACAGGAGGCCGGCCACTCACCTGCTCACTATGAAACAATAGAAGGGAAAACCATTACGGGAGTATATCAATCGGTTCAACAATGAAATGCTGCAGGTGGATGAAGCTGATGACAAGGTAGCATTTACCGCATTCATGGGAGGACTGCATACATCTAGATTCCTTTTTTCCTTGTCAAAGGAACCTCCAACCAGTATGGCAGAATTACTGGTCAGAGCCAGGAAACACATAAATGCGGAGGATGCGATGAGTGCGCGAAAGGGGAAAGAAGGAGAAGATAAAAAGGCGGATAAAAAGAGACCACAACCTGGTACCAAGGATGAAAAGGAGACCAAATTCAAAAAGTCTTCAATCAATCAAAGTGAAAGGACATCTCATTACAGGAGCTCAGATAAGTACTCCAACTACACCCCGCTCACTATGTCTATAGATCAGGTTTGAATGCAGATTCAGGATGATCCTTCCTTGAAGTGGCCATCGAAGCTGAAATCTGATCCCTTAAGAAGGCCTCGAGACAAATATTACAGGTTTCATAGAGATCATGGGCATATCACGGAGGATTGTATCGACTTAAAAGATCAGATTGAGAATTTGATTCGAAGGGGTCACCTGCGAAGGTTCATGGCGGGAGATGATAGACGAGGTACTAATCCTGCGCAAGGGAGGTGGGACAATCATCCACCAGAACAACAACCAGTAGGTGAGATCAGAGTCATATCTGGAGGGTATACAGGAGGAGGTGAAACAGCCACGGCCCGAAAAACATACACAAAAAGAGCAAGAGCAGAGGTGAATGAGGTGGGAATGTTCAACTCTCCATCAAAAACACTAAGGTATATTGATACTACCATTATGTTTTCTGAGGCTAATGCTAAAGGGATCCAGCAACCCCATGATGATCCTCTGGTTGTCTCTATGGTCATAGCTAACTACACCATAAGGCGTATACTTATTGACAATGGGAGTTCAGCTGATATAATATTTTCCCATGTATTCGACCAAATGATGATAGGCCGGGAAAGGTTACGACACATGAATTCTCCTCTCGTGGGGTTTTCAGGAGATAAGGTGTATCCATTGGGAGCAGTTACCCTTCCAGTGACTACAAGAACCAGCCCAAAGCAAGTCACTTTTATGGTTGATTTTATAGAGGTGGATTGCCCTTTAGCGTATAATGTTATTCTTGGGAGGGCAACCCTAAACTCTATTAGAGCCATTACTTCGACTTACCACTTCCTCATGCGTTTCCCAACAGAGCATGGGGTGGGTGAGTTGAGGGGTGACCAAGCCACCACTCGTGAATGCTATCTCACTTTTCTTAGAGAAAAGATGTCCCAGGAAACTATGATAATTGAAAGGTTAGAGGTAAGAGATTAGGAAGAGGTAGAAAAGCAGAAAGTTCAACGAGCCAAACCAATGGAAGGTCTACTGGAGGTGAGCTTGGATGATGAGGCTAAGAAGAAAGTGAGTATAGGATCCTTGCTTCAACCTGGCATAAAGGGTGAACTCATTCAATTTCTTAAGCAAAACCAAGATGTGTTCGCTTGGACTCACGAGGATATGCCCGTCATAAGTCCGGCCATAAAACAACATTATTTGAATGTTCATCCCAGCTTTAAACCCATCAGACAGAAAAGAAGGACATTAACCTCTGAACGAAACCAGGCTATATCGGAAGAGGTGGAGAAACTTTTGAGAGCTCACTTTATTCAAGAGGTACATTATCCTGACTGGTTGTCAAATGTGGTCCACGTAAAGAAAGCCAATGGGAAGTGGAGATTATGCGTAGACTTTACAGACTTGAACAAGGCCTGCCTAAAAGATAGCTTTCCTCTCCCACTTATTGATATGCTGGTGGAGGGAACTGCGGGACATAAACTGCTGAGCTTCATCGATGCATACTCTGGATATAACCAGATTCCAATGTACCAATGATCGAGGTTTGTATTGTTACAGGGTCATGCCATTTGGGCTAAAAAATGCAGGGGCAACATACCAAAGGCTAGTCAACATGATGTTCAAACACCAAATCGGATGAAACATGGAAGTCTACGTGGATGACATGCTGGTGAAAAGTTAGAAAGCTGAAGATCACCTGCTAGACCTGCGGGAAACCTTTGAAGTATTGAGGAAGCATAAGATGAAACTCAACCCCAGAAAGTGTGCTTTTGGAGTTGCCTCAGGGAAATTCCTTGGGTATATGGTAAGCAGAAGGGGAATAGAAGCTAATCCAGAAAAAATACAAGCAGTTCTGGATATGAGGTTACCTAGATCCACGAAGGACCTCCAGCGACTCACAGGGAAGATTGCTGCCCTGAATAAGCTAATCTCTCGAGCAATTGATAGATGTTTACCTTTTTTCCGTATCCTTAAAAAAGCATTTGAATAGAAACCAGAATGTGAGTAGGCATTTCTATAACTAAAGGAATACCTCTCCTCACCACCACTTCTGTCCAGAGCAATACTGGGAGAGGACTTGTATTTGTACCTGGTTGTCTCCTCATCAGCAGTAAGTTCAGCTTTAATCCGAGAGGAAGATGGGGTTCAGAAGCCGATGTATTACACAAGCCGGGCACTTAGGGGTGCCGAGGAGAGATATCCAACAATGGAGAAATTGGCATTTGCCTTAGTTGTGTCCGCCAAAAAACTCAGTCCTTATTTCCAAGCTCACAAAATAGTGGTACTAACAGACCCCTAAGACAGGTTTTCCATAAGCCAGAGACTTCAGGACGACTTATGAAATGGTCAATAGAACTCAGGGAGTTCGACATTCAGTATAGACCCTGAATTGCAATAAAAGCTCAGGTGGTAGCAGATTTTGTTGCCGAGTTCACACCTTCACAAGAAGACCATGCTGATATTTGCACGGAATCGACCCTTCATATTCAAACAAATGAAAAAGTTACTTGGACTCTGTTTGTTGATGGGTCATCAAATGCGCATGCTAGTGGAGCAGGGTTGATCATCACCTCCCCAACAGGAGAAAACATTGCATATGCCCTTTGGTTTGGCTTCAAAGCAACAAACAATGAAACAGAATATAAAGCCCTCATAGTTGGGTTAAAACTGGCAGAAGTCCTCGGGGTGGAGCAGCTCGTAGCATACACAGATTCTCAGTTGATAGCAGGACAAGTCCGAGCAGAATATGAAGCCAAAGATGAGAAAATGAAGGCCTACCTAAAAAAGGTAGAAGAATTAAAAAATCATTTTATGAGATTTTCAGTCCATCAGATCCCACGTGAAAAAAATGCGACTACAGATGCTCTAGCTAGATTGGCTATCGCGTTAGATCCAAAGGTGAACAGGGCAATACCATTAGAATATCTGGATAAACCGAGTACACTTTAAGATGTTCAAAACGAGGTACAACAATTGGTGCTCAACATGGGATGGGCAGAGCCTATCATAAAATACATTAAGGAGGGAGAACTTCCTGAAGATGGAAATGAGGCCCGAAAAGTCAAAATTCGAGCAGCAAGGTACACCCTCATCAAAGGGGTATTGTACAAGAGGGGTTTTTCTTTACCCTACCTGCGTTGCGTCTCAACTGAAGAGGCAAGGTATATTCTAAAGGAGATACACGAAGGAGGTTATGGTAATCACGCTGGGGGAAGGTGATTACCACAATGCAAAAGGATGCTACGGATTATGTGAAAAAATGTGATAAATGTCAACGATTTGCCAATGTTCCAAAACAACCACCTGAAAAGCTGACTCCCATGACGGGTCCATGGCTTTTCGCACAATGGGGAATGGACCTTATAGGTCCATTCCCCATGGGAAAATGCCAGGTCCAGTATGCCATTGTGGCTATAGACTACTTCACCAAGTGGATAGAAGCTGAGCCACTAGCAAGTATTACAGAGATGAACATAAGAAATTTTGCTTGGAGATCAATCATTTGCAGGTTCGGAATCCCAAGAGTGTTTGTCACAGATAATAGAAAGCAATTTGATTGCATAAAGTTTAAGGATTTCTGTGCTTAACTAGGGATAAAGAACCATTACTCATCACCTGGACATCCTCAAGCAAATGGACAGGCTGAGGTGGCGAACAGATCGATACTTTAGATGATAAAGAACAAGCTTAAGGATAAGAAGGGAACATGACCTAAAGAATTGCCCAGCGTGTTGTGGGTTTACCGTACAACTGCAAGAACCCCCATAGGTGAAACATCATTCTTACTGGCCTTTGGAAGTGAAGCAATTGTTTTTACTGAAGTCGATGTAACCAGTCTCGGGACTGAGCATTACGAGACATGAGCAAATAAGAGAGAATTACTATTGAGCTTAAAACCTGATTGAGGAAAGAAGGGAGCAAGCTCAGATTCGAACGGTAACCTATCAACAAATGGTGTCTAGATACTATAATGCCAAGGTCAAGCCAAGAATATTTCAACCTGGGGACTTCGTGCTTCGCAAAGTCACCTTAGCAACTAGAACCCGAGGAGAAGGGAAGTTGTCCCCTAACTGGGAAGGACCTTATAAGGTTATTAGCACCAACAGATCGGGGGCATACTGGCTTGAAAATTTAGGAGGGCATCAGTTGGACCATCCTTGGAATGCTGAACATTTAAGGAGGTACTACCAGTAAAAGATTTGTGTGCCTTATTTTATTTTCTCAATAAAAGAGCTAGCTAGCTTGATAGTTTACCTTTATTTTCCTGAAATAATTATGATCTCTGTGATTGATTTTACTTTTCAATAAAAAGGACTAATATGTCCTCCTCTGATGATGTTCATTGTGATGATGTTTTAGAATGGATTGATTCTTCAATAAAATTATGATCTCATAATTTGTTTTTGGTAGTCTCCTTTGCTACTATAAATACATCGAAAAAATGAGCACAAAATGCTTAAGAAAAGGTAAAGTTAGGCTACTTTACCCCCTTATTAAAGGGCGAGCTGAATGAAGCTCGTAAAACTCCATCCCTTATTAAAGGGCGAGCTGAGTGAAGCTCGTAAAACTCCATCCCTTTTTAAAGGGCGAGCTGGGTGAAGCTCGTAAAACTCATTCTGTATACACATATATATATAGATGATGCCTACTTTAATATATAAAAAAAGAGTACAAGTTCAAACAACACCATTTATTATAAAAGAAGTGCAAAACTACTCCACTAGGAGAACAAAAAAAAAAAAAAAAAAAAATTTTGGAGCTAGTCATCAGCTTCATTATCGCTCTCCAACTGAATCGAAGAAAAGTTCATATCTGGAAAATCAGAAGTGACTTGAGCTCGAAAAGCTTCGAAACCATCTATGTACATCTTTGCTTGGGCTACTTTGAAGTTATTGGAAGATTTGTATTCTTCAACCGCAGATGACCTAGTTAGTGCCATCTCTTTGGTAAGTCCCTCTGATTGACGGTTGAAATCAATTATAAATCAACCCTCTTCGCAATAGCACGAATCATTGTAAAATAGGGCTATTGGTCGGGTAAGTCGAACCACTGGGGCTGTGCTAGTTTAAGGCAACCTAAGCGTCTAGAATCGTTTTAGAATGATAAGGGGGAATAGGGTGTTTGCTTGGTTTGTCACTAAAGCTATGAAATTAAGATGCATAAAATAGAACTTGCAAGAATTTAAAAGAGATAAAATGTCGGTAAAAGAGACTAGGGAAGTAACTTCACCACCTACAATATAAACATGCTAGAATATGATTCATTCGGGGAAAAACAACATAAATATGTGGCTATGATAAGTAGTTACTCATGGTTACTACATTACCTTCAAAGGATTCATGGAATCAATAGGCAAGAACAATTTATCAAAGATTTTACATGTTCAATTACCTAAACTAAAGTGTAATTTAAGACATGTTCACTAAGCTAGAAATTGTCAAACCAACAATCACATGATAAGAGCACATGAAGCTAAGAATTAAGAATAAGCCATCAAAGGAAGAACCTAAGCTATGGCCTATCAAATCTCTCAACAACATGCCATTAAAACCATTCCAAAAATCTCATCTTCATTGTCACCATGAAAATGTAAACCATACAACCATGAAAACATACATTCTAAGATAAGAAAGTAGGTCCAACATGATCATTAAATCAAAATCAATTCATTACATCAAGTAAGAGTTCTAAATTATGGAATCACCACAAAAATACATTATTTTTCCCAAACTAGAATCAAAAGTAAAGCATGCTTACAATGAGGGGTTCCATTACCTCCCTAGAGGAGGAGTTAGTTACACATGGGAGCCTTAGAATGAAGAAGAACCATGGATCCTCCTTCCATTTTCGAGCTCCACTTTCTTGCTCCAAGAACTCTCCTTCCTTTGCTCTATCCTCCTCCCCTATCTTCTCAAAATAAAGCTTAAGAGATAATGAGTGGCTTTGCTTCCCTTATCTAGATCACTTATCCACCCCAA